TCTGTCTGAACACCGCTAGCTTCTCTTTGCCCTGTCGTTGACACTGGTGAGGCTTCATCTTAAACTCTTTGTTCAGTTCTGAGCCCCTCACTACAAGACAGACACTGAGGTTCTAGAGCAGGTCCAGAGAAGGGCAGTGAATCTGGTGATTGGCCTGGGGAGTAAGTCTTACCAGGAAAGGCTGAGGGACCTAGGGTTGTTTAGTCTGGAGAAGGTTCATGGGGGACCTTATTGCTGTCTACAACTGCCTGAGAGGAGGATGTAGTGAGATGGGGTTGGTCTCCTCTCCCAATAACAAGTGATAGGAGAGGAGGAAACGGCCTCAAGCTGCACCAGGGGAGGTTTAGACTGGCTATTAGGAAAAACTTCTTCACAGTGAGGGTGCTCAGGCATTGGAACAGGCTGCCCAGGGCAGTGGTGGAATCACCAACCCTGGAAGTGTTCAGAAACCGTGTAGATAAGGCCCTCAGTGACATGGGTTAATGGTGGCCTTCGCAGTCCTGGGGTAAAGGCTGGACTTCAGGATCTTGAATGTCTTTTCCAACCTAATTGATGCAATGGTTCTGTAATATCTGCTCTTTTGCCAGAGCTCTGCAGTGGGTCAGGCAGGCATGGTGAAAGAGTTGGAGCTGAGCTGTGAGAGGAAGGTGTGCTACCCACTGTGGGGCTATCTGATCACAGCCCTGGTTTCTCTCTGGTCATGTCAGATGTCAGCTTGGCTGTTGGGGGCTTCTGTTCACTCAGCCATATCTTTCTTCCAGCATTTTGAGTAATTGTACCAATTACCATTCCCCTTCACGTGCTGTAGAGCCAGAGGAGTATTTGTGCGTCACTATGTGGTAGGCGGTATGTCTAAAAATAGGAGCCGCATTTTTGGAATCCAAGGCACTTCTGGGGGCTTGCTTTCCCCCCTAGATGGTTTTATTTAGGAAGAGAGAAACAAGTTTCGTAGAAGACCACAGTGTTCTTGCTTTGTTTGCATTGTCTGTCTTAATGCATTGCAAGAATAGTAACCTAGAGAGTGCATGTACCCATTTTCTGTCTAATTTGAATTATGTACTGACACAAGACTAAATCTGAGCAGATCTTTGTACATAAGAAGCCACGTGAAAGAAAGGATCTGACGTAGATTGATCAGAGGCAGAAAAAAGAACATATGAGTGAAAAGTGAAGAGAGGGACTTAAGCTTATGCCAAGGTCATGGGCTTTAGTAGATGTAATAGAGAGTCTCTGTTTTCTGTATCAAAAAAAAAGGCCAGTTGAGTAATAAATGGTTAGGATTGGTCTTCATATAGAAATACAAACTGGTTTATGTTCTCTTTTCTTTGCCCTGTGTGATATGCTAAAATTGTCCTTTAGCAAAATGGCTGTCACAAGGATTTGGCTTGTTGGTACATCAGTGAGTGTCCATTGTGAAGCTGCTGTAAAATGTGATTTTCACATCTTGGGCTGTTTGGTTTTAAGTGTTGTTCGGTGTGTGTGGGTTTTCTGTTAGTTTATTAGCAGCAGCTCTGCTATTTCTGTTCAGTCAGAAGGTTTACTCAGTGATTAGAATCACAACAGGAAACCAGAAGTGTAAATGTTAGTACATGAATAATGGTGTAGGGGTAACGTCTTATTTTTAAGATTTGGGGGTTTTGGTGGGGTTTCATTTTGTTTTTTAATCCAAATTCTGTCTTTAAAATGTTTACATTTGGTGCTACACTGCTGCAGAATCTTAAGCTTTGCTTTCATTCTTGACTGACATTTTAGAGGTCAGACCATTACCAAGCTCTTAAAGGCCACTCATTTCTTAGGAGTTGTAGACAAGCAGAAATGAGCTGTAAGGTTTTGTCTCTCTCAAATAAATTAGTAGCTGGAGAAAAAGCTCTCTCCAACCTGCTGCCTTTGGGAGAAGGAAGAGAGAAAGGAAGATCTTCTCTTCCACCAGGTGGAATTATTATGAGAGCTTTATAGTTAACAGAGATGGCCTGGGACTTGTCTTAAGGATGCTGTGATTTAAGCAAGTCATTGTGATGTCTTCCTATTGCTTGGAATAATATGTGAAACAAAGATTTTAAGTACTCACCTCTGTCATATTGTGCCTTGAGACTAACAACAGTCAGGTGGCTCTAAATGTTTTTATGTAGTACTGTATTTCCTTTATATTTTGTTTAATACTGGCTTCAGTGATGGTGTAGTTCTTTTGTGTGTGTGTACTATACATGATTTCATATATAAAAGTAATATATGTAAATTATATTGTTCTTTAACAGCTTCCTGAATGGGTCTTGGATTACTGGCATCCATCTGAGAAGGCAATGTATCCTGACTACTTTGCTAAGCGAGAGCAGTGGAAGAAGCTGCAGCGGGAGAGCTGGGATAAAGAGGTCAGTGCTTGCTCAGTACAGAGTAGAACCTCTTCAGCACCCAAGTATTTTGTGTGACGTCTGATGTCTTCTTGGAAAAAATATCCAATGCCTACTGCAGTCTCGCACTCTGCGTTGTTAGAACCTCTACCAGTGGGAAACATGCACTCAACCTAAAATGCCTACACAGAGATCTCAAGAGTTACAGCTTCTTAAAGGCTGTGGAGGGAATTTGAAGTTAAAAGCTGCCACTGCATTTATCTTAGTGCAGGGCTATTGTAGCAGGTTTGCTAAAAGAAATTCCAAACTGGCATGAGAGGAGATTAATGACCAGAGAATTTCTCTCCTGCTGTGAAGCTCTGACACTTTTCAGGTTGCACTTTCAAAGTGACCTACCACAGTGGGCATCAGGTGGGAATGGAGACTGATTTCTGGCCACCCTAAACTGAGATTCAGTTGAAAAACATGATGTTCTTGGAATAGTTCTTGAATTCAGATGTAGAGAAACAGTTGGATTGTGTGTGCTGTGACAGAATTAACAGTGACAACCAGTGCTTGCACTGTTCGTGGCATACAGGAATAGAGGTGGTTGGCTGTTGGTGGCATACAGGAATAGAGATCTCATATGGACTGCAGTGGAAGTTGTTCAGGACCTGTGATTACATGGCAGCTTTCAAAGAGGATTGAGTCTGTTTAACGTAGCATAGCAATGGTAGGCAGGAATTACATGGAAGTAATGACCTTTCAAGTAAAATTTCTCTTGTAAATCACTTTTTACTCTTAAAAAATCCTTCCTAATTAGTTAATATGAGCCTGCAGTGATTAATGACTAAGGGAATATTGGGAACCATGACACTTGAAGGTGTTACTGCTGGTTCTTCCCTTCTGAAACAGGCCCCAATTCTTACTGCCTGGGCACTGAGCCTACATGGAAATGGTCATTTGAATACTGAAGCACTTCTCTGTCTTGCCTCCTAGCTTAAGCAGCTCGAAGAAGAAACTCCACCTGATGGTCCAAGAACTGAAGCTCTGCCTCCAGCTCGAAAGGAAGGCCATCTGCCCCCGCTGTGGTGGCAGTATGTTACAAGACCCCGTGAGATGCCCATGTAAAAGTATGATCTCACGTGAGCATTGAAGCAGTTTATCTTCTGTAGGCACTTGACATGCCAGTGGCTGCATGCTGCTCGAATTAATACAAAATAAACCTGAATAATATAACAAGATAAGGCATTTTGCTGATATACTGTTCTTCTGTAGCATGCACACACTTTACTTGCAGTTGTGCAGTGTAGACCTACGTACTGACCAGCCTATGAAGAAGTCAGAGAGAGATGGGGATTGACACTATAATCCAACCAAACCACCTTGATTTTTCCTTTAAAGTCTTCATGAGTGCACTGGATCTGGCTGGGATGGAGTTAACCTTCCCCACAGCAGCCCTCACAGTGCTGGGTAGCAGGAGCTAGGAAGGTGTTGAGAACACACGAGGTTTTGGTTACTGCTGAGCAGTGCTCCCAGCATCAAGGCTGCCTGTCCAGCATCCTCCCTCACCCGTAGGCTGGGGATAGGGAAGGTCTTCAGAGGGGACAGAGCCAGGATAGCTGACCTCAACTGACCAGAGGCCGTGGGCTCCTTTCTCCACAGGACACAGGTCCTGCCAGGAGCCTGCTCCAGCGTGGGCTTCCCATGGGGTCACAGCTTCCTTCAGGCATGCCCTGCTCCAGCGTGGGGTCTTCCCTGGGCTGCAGGTGGAATCTGCTCCACCGTGAACCAATGTAGGCTGCACCACAGCCTGCAGAGGAATCTGCTCTGGCACTTGGAGCATCTCCTGCCCTCTTCTACACTGACCTTGGTGTCTGCAGGGCTGTTTCTCTCACATATATTCTCACTCTCTCTGGCTGCTGTTGCTCCTGCACAGGAACTCTTTCCCCTTGAATCTGTTATCCGAGAGGTGCTACCAACATCTGCTTGGTCAGCAGGCGGTCCATCTTGGTGCTGACACCAGGAGATACAGGGGAAGCTTCTGGCAACTTGTCACCAAAGCAGCCCCTGTAACGCCCCTCTACCAAAACCTTGCCTTGCAAATCCAATACATGCACAGACTGAAACCCCTGGACAAAAATGAATCTATGGCAGTGGCAAGGAAACAAATTAGGCCACTGTGTGGTAACTGGAAGTGGGAGCAATGTCCTCCCTCTATACCTTTGCTCCTGAGAAAGCTGAACAGAAGGAAATCTTCAGTCACTTGAGCCTGTGGGAGATGGCACTGGTGCTGTGCTTGGCAGATCCTGGCTGTAAGCATGGGCTGTACTGACAACACAATTTTCCTCCTCTTGCAAAGGAACTGCAGTCCAGAAGTGCTGCAGATGCACAAACGTGTGGAGCTACCTGTGCTTCCTGGCCAGGGAATAACAGGCAAGGGTACAGAAATGTCACCGGTTATTTAATGGGAATTTCCACTGTTGGCACTGTGCCTTTGTTTTGCTGCCACCCTTCAGCGCACAGCAGTGAAACAGCCTCATGCACCTTTACTTACTAATTCTCTGTTAGACACAGATGGAACCTGCGTGCCCTTCAGAAGCCTAAGCAAGGACCCCACTGATCCCCAAAGCTCCAGAAGCAGGAAGTCTTTCAAGAACCAAAATACAGAAGTTTTCCAGCAGTTCTTTATTTATAATGTAGGCTTAAGCAATCATTACAATGTAGAAGGGAGACACACTTACAGCAATTATTTATACCAGTTTAGAACAAAAACCTGCACAGGGAGAGCTCAACTCTCAGTACAAACTAGCAACTAAACCACAATAATTTACCATTAGAAACATTTTCTTTTTTAGCTGTGACACTGCTTTTACAATATGCAAAAACACAAACAATAGAACTATCCAAAGTGTTTTGTCACATTCTTTCTACATTGAATTTGGCAACATTTTATATTAAATTTTTACTGATTATACTAACGTTTAAGAACTAAACAAGTGAAAAGCTGTACTCGGGTACAGTTACATCCATTTATTCCAAAGGTTTAAATAACACTTTTAAACTATCGAGATTATCTCCTAGCAGTTTTTGTTTATGCAAAAACCATCTCTCGAAGCCTCATTTGCACAACGCATCAGCTACCGTCTCAAGGTTGGTGGGCTACACCACAGGCACTACTGTTCATTAGATTCTGTAGTAAGGAGCTTGTTTTTCAAAGGAAGGAAGGTTTAGTTCATAGTTTCTAAGAATCATGCCTTTTTTTTTTTTTTTGCTTTTTTTGCTTTTAAGCCATAACAAAAAACCAAAAGGTTAGCAACCACAGCAGTGTAAAATGTTATATAGAACACAGTGACTACACAGTTACTACAAGTCTCACATCCAATGCAGTTATGTATTAAAGCATAAGAGGGTATGTAGGCAAGTCCAGAGCCAACAGAAATCTGCAGAGTGGCTGGTGGAAACCAGCCCCTTGTGGGTGGTATTTGGTGCAGGTTTTAAACCACCCCAGGTACACCAGTGCCGTGTCCACCCTCCTGCGGGTCTGATCCAAACACGTCTCGTGCCCCACGGTCTGCACATTTCTATCAGCTTTAAGAGATGGGTATCGCAGCAAGAACTTACTTTTACTTGAAGGAAAAAAGCCAACTCTTAATAATTCTATCAACAGTGTTCCAAAAAACACGACTTAAAGTACAAAAGAAGAGGCTCTAGTGGTCAGGCTCCCGGTGTTATCAAAAGAAGAGTCTCTCTGCCCACCCCCCACCCCTCTCTCCCCTTTCTTTTCGGTAGTTAAGAAAAGCCAATCGTCAACTGCCATTTAAAAGGAGTTAAGAAAAACAAGCCCCTGTATTGGAAAGGAACGTCCGCAGTTTGTTAGCTCAAAGCTGGTTACACCTGCCAAATTTGTCAGTGTCTCCTCAAAATACTTGGGCTTTGGAGGCCCAGCCTGCTGGGCACGGTCACAAAAAGGCATTTGGATAACGTCTAAGAACTCCCTGCTCGCGGTTTAAAAAGGTTCTTTTGCACACGTGTAACTGCCTTAAGCCTGTCGTCCGTGTTTGTATTCAGTGAGAGGATGAGCGGAACAAAAGGTGGAGGTGGAAGAACCAAGCCTACGCGGGTCAGGCTGCATGCATGTGACTGAGAGTTGCTGCTGTGCAGTCCCGAAAAGAAACGTGGAAAAACCCCCGGTCGTTAAAACACCCCACAGAAACAAAACACTGCAATCCAGTATGGCTTATTCTGATGCATTTACCATGAAGCTACTAGTAATTAATCCTACTAGGCTACTCTTGTGCAACAGCATCTGCTATTTTGATGGCATCTCCCCCCTCCCCACTACCCACCCCCCGAAATACTCTACCAACTGCAGGTTTCTTCCTTGCATTATATATTGCTTTTATTGTCAATTTTCATTCCTGCTTTTCAGGCTTTATTTTCTTTAATACTTCAATGAGGATCTGTTCCTTACGGCTTAAACTTTAGAGTAAGTCCCCTTGGTTTGTTCTTTTTCAACCTCATTATCACAAAGCGCTCTACAAAAGCTTGCACAAAAGCCAAATTGTCATGAAATCCCTTTGCTGAAGTTTAACTACTCGACACTGTTTTTGTTTCTCCTATGATTTAAAACTTTACAAAGAGAGTTATAAAAAAGGTCAATGGGATTTGGCACCTTCAGAAAAAATCAGAAGTGTAACTTAGACCAAAACAAAAAAACAACAAAAGCAGAAACAAAATCATTGATATTTACAAATTAAAACACCAGTGAAGATTATGTCTTACTTTCTTACGCTCTTTCACCTTGTTTTCTCCTCTAGAGTACTTGCAGACTGTCTCGTTACCAAGTATCTTAAAAAACTCATTGATTACAGATTGGAATGGATAGAGACAAATTAACTTTCCTCACAGTTCCTTCTCGGTGGCTTTAGTACTCCGGCAGCTTCTCTGCTCCTAGGAAATACGAGGTGCCGAGCGATCGTTCGTGGTGGTCTTCTTCAGCTTGACGCCGCGCCGAATGGCGTTCAGCATATCCTCCCCTTGCGGGACATCCCCGGGACTCAGCTCTCCGGGATCGAGCTCCGGCTGCCCCGCGGGTGCCAGGGCACCGGCACCATCCCGGTCGCTTTCCTCACCCTCTCCCTCAGGAACTGCTTGCCTCTGCTCGTCGACACCGCTCAGTTTCTGGCTGGACGGCGGAGGGTTGACGGACGCTTGTCCGCTCCATGAGGATGAGGGCATGCTGGTGACACCCTGCCCACCGTCTCCTGCTGCTGGAGACTCGGGGCTTTGCTCAGGACACTCTTCTGTCCCAGCGAGGGCGCCGGGCAGCCCCCCTGGGATATCGGGGACGGTCGGTGTTTTGACAGGAATCACTGGGGTCTTGATCGGGATGGGCCCTCCCCCGATGGTGCCGCGTCTGACCGAAGGCTTGGTGGAAGGGGTCCGTCTGATGGTGGCGACGCCAGGGGTGACGATGACCGGTCCAAGCGTGGTGGGCAGACCTGCGGTGGAAGCAGGACGCTTGGTTTGAAACATTCTGCGATAGGACTGGCTAATGTCGCTGTTTCTTGGGATGGTGGAGGATTTGTCAAACTCTTGTTGTTCTGCCTCCTGGTCACCACTCACAGAGAAATAATCATAATCTGAAACTGATGCCAAAAGACACGGTTAGGAACAAGCTGCAGAAGACAGCTCAGTCATCACAGACCAGAGAATGGTTTGGGTTGGAAGGGATCTTAAAGATCATCCAGTTCCAACCCCCTCTGCCATGGGCAGGGACACCTTCCGCTAGACCAGGTTGTTCAAAGCCCTGTCCAACCTGGCCTTGAACACTGCCAGGGATGGGGTGTCAGTAAGTCTGAGGTGTGTATAACCAAAAAGGTATATACACCAAAAAAAGCCTGGAGGCCAACAGCAATAAAGAGAGGTTTCACCTTTAGGAGGAAGGAAGCCTGAGATACTGTGACCAAGATTCTCTGACGGTGTAGCTGAAGGCAGGTACTGCAGCAAGGTGACCCTGAGGCTGCAGGGTGCCTACATCTCTTGTGACAGAGAACAAGAACTGCACCACTCAGTGCCATCTCTAGAACTAATTAAGTAGCAAAGACTCAATATTTGTTTGCAACACTATGATACCAAAACCAGCATTCTACAAGCCACATGCTACCACTTGTGGGTACAAATACTTAAACCAGTCAGTGGCTAAGAAGCGTACTGTAGGCGGGGCACTGTGTGGCTCAGGGGACTGTGTACCAGTGATTTCAGCAGCAAATCTGCTTATTTTGCAAACAAGGTAAATCCCAGCTGTCAGCTCCGAAAACTCAGCCTCAGCTTTGGTAACTGCATTGGGTTCCTTCCTTTCCATGCAACTGCTGAGCCAAGCTGGGCCCTCTACAAGCCCCACTGCCTCTTGTGGCTGCACAGCATCACCAACCTCAGCTGAGCAAACAAGGTGGTTGCTGAACCCCAAACACCAAACTCAGTACCTCTCAGCCTGCTGCTGGTTCTGAACCAGGGTACAAACCCCAACACCTTACTGCAGCTCCCCAGGTATGCCCGAGTTAAGGTCTCCAATGGATTCCTTTTCCAAATACAATATTTCTGCTTAGGTAGGAAATAAAAGGTCACAAAGGGAAACCGAGAGCAGATTCAGAGCACTGATGGAAGAAGAAAGCAAAGCTCATGAGTGCGTATTTGCTAAGACAATAGCCAGAAAGGACACTACTACCACAAGAAGGATGCAATACCAATGTCATTCCACTTAAACCATCAAATGTAATTCCAGCATCTTCTTTAAAAATACTGGCATCCTTAAGCTAAAGCTCATTTTAGTAATGCACAAGAAAGTAAGATCATTCAGTGCACTATGCAGCAATCCAGGTTTCTATTTAGTTAATAAATCCAGGCTGCATTCCAACATGGAAAAACTTCACAGCAGCAATATTTGCCCTTCTCCCCAGTGACCCAGTGAGTGCCAGCTGCTGGAATATAGCTCCTTGGCACTGCAGGGTGAGTGTATGATGGGCAGGGTGGGAATGCTCTGAAAGAGAACATCTCTTGGATAGATCCCATACCTTGGGATGGGATTGTGTCCTCTGAACAGCACGGAGTTGTTGTCTGGGTGCTGTAGCCGCTGGAGCACTGCAGGGAATCCCGGCTGCTCCTCTGGGTGTCCAGCTGCAGCCCTCTTGTCAGAGCGAGCGCCAGCTCCTCGCAGGCCTCCATCTCCTCACCCTGCTGGTTACACACAGGGAAGAGACTCGTTTTGTCTAGAAGGGTGAGTCAGTCTTCACAACTTTCAGCTGCCTCTCCTCCCCACGCAGAGCTTGTCACAAGCACAACCCACCAGGACTGCATCCAAACACTTACTAGGACTTAGAAACATGAACTTCTTTGGATACTGTTCTACAAATGCCAGTACACAATGGCACATTCTCTCATGCCTTTGTGACTTTCACTGACCACACCAAAACCCCACCAGTATCGCTGGCTGGATAAACACATGCCAACATAGAATCACGGAATGGTTTGTGTTGGAAGTGACCTTCAAAATCATCCAGTTCCATTCCCCTGCCATAGGCAGGGACACCTTCCACGAGACCAGGTTGCTCCAAGCCCCGTCCAACCTGGCCTTGACACTGCCAGGGATGGGGCAGCCACTCCTCTGGGCAACCTGTGCCAGTGCCTCACTACCCTCACAGTAAAGAATTTCTTCCTAATATCTAATCTAAATGTACCCTCTTCTAGTTTAAAGCCATCCCCCTTGTGCTGTCATTCCACATTAAGAAGCATTAGGAGCCAGCACATCCACCTCCTCTGCACCAAACAGTGTATGTGAAACCAGAGCGTCACCCTTGTGGCAGCCGACACCGTCATGCTCCGGGGTCTCTGGGGCTCCTCTGGAGGCACGGGGGGTCCACTTGGAGCTCCTCCATTGACATCTGGCTCCCGCTTCTCCTTGCGCCGCTGCAACGTGTTCACCATCGGTTGATCGTATGGGCCTGGCTTGGCCCAGTCCTAAGGAAACGTGCTTGTTAGTGATAGCCTACGTCAGCAACTTCTTTCATTACACACACAAACTATGAACAAGGGCAGTTCTAGTGCAAGAGCTTATGTATCAAACTGGATATGCCTTTCTGAATAAGGCCAGAAATAAATTAACTGTGAGGATATTCACTTAGCAAACCCATCCCCTTTGTTATCCCCTTCATTATTTCCTACTCTCGGTGCTCTTACATGAAGATATTTAACGCTTTAGCACTTCAGTTTTCTCTACATGAAATTCCATAGAATCACAGAATAGTTAGGGTTGAATGGACCTTAAGATCATCAAGTTCCAACCCCCCTGCCATGGGCAGGGACACCTCGCTCTACACCATATTACCCAAGGCCTCGTCCAACCTGGCCTTGAACACTGCCAGGGATGGAGCATTCACAACCTCCCTGGGCAACCCCACTGTGTTAAAGCCTGTATTTTCAGAAATTCAAATGCAAAAATCACTGGCACACAGCAGAAAATACACATCTGTGCCCAATCAGTGATGTAACTCCTAGATGGACACAAGTTCTACATCGCATGCTGTTAGGCACGTCTTCAACTCTGAAAAATCAGGCTTGAACACATTTTTGATGCACATCAGAAGAGCAAGCTGCTCTGAGCAATCGCTCAGTTTACTTCCTAGCTGAAACCTAGTTTGTAATAGAGATCTGAACTGAAGAAAGACCTCACTGAACTACCGCTGCCAAATTTGAAACAGAAGCGCCTCAGGCCACGAGGGCCGGGCTCACTCAGGGCTCTATTAAGCAAAGTCCTGAGGGTGTCCAGAAACCACACAAGAGCAGGACTGACCAGTGACCTGTGCTGGGAGGCAGAACCACTGCTAAGCAGCAGCTCCCACATAGAGACTGCTGCAGGGGCAAGCCTGATCCTTAGAGTTTTCCTTCACCAAGACAAGGGTGCTTTAAAAATAAAAGAAGCTGTGTGTGAGACTGGGCCACACACCCAGCACTGGCAGCAGCTGGGCAGCCTCTGCACAGCCTTCTGATGGATAACGGATAATGGGCTAAGGCCATACTGCAGATATGTACTGGCATGTGTCTCAGCCCAAGGTATGGCAAGTCAAGGCAGCTGCACTGACAGAAGCCCCTGTGCAGACAGGAGTTTTGGTTGTTAGCAGATATGAAGCCCTGCTTTGCCTTCACAGCTGTGTCTCTGCTCTAAGTGTTTTGCTGTGAAATACACTGGCAAAGTCCTTCTAGCATAGACACAGCTGGTGACCCTGAAGCCCCAGGACCACTGTGGCCATGCTGTGTGTATGTCTCAACAGTCTGCAGCTGCTGGAGAGAAGATCGGGGGATCCTTAACAAGGTACCTCTATTTACACATATAAGGAAGGTCCCATGGTGCATGTGCAGTATCATATAAGCATCCACAGGCACCTAAGCCCTGTGCAGCTAGCATCAACTGCCCATCAGCCTTGTGAAGGACAACAGACTTACTCTGGGGCAGAGGAGAACTGACTGGCAGGGACAAGAGTCAAGGCTCTGGCAGACCAGAGACGTTTTAATGCCAAGGAAGATCCTTGCAGATCCAGTGGAGCAACTGGAAGAAGTTACTGCACTCTGTTTTGGTGGGAGCAGAACAAGCTGGGTGAGTACATTCAGTCCGTGCAGTGAAGCTGGGACAGCTTCAGTCACCACCTAGGTTCAGCTGGTGATGACCACCTTCTCAAACCACTCCACAGTTAGGTCTGCAAGAGGATACCTGCCCATGGCTGCCACAGTGAGAAGAGCACATCCTTCCACACAGGGTTTCGCTAAGCCAACTGGATGCTGAGTCTGCACTTCCCTGCTCAAGTGAGCGCTTTCATGATGCTAAACAAGCTCTTTTCTTGCTGAATAGAGCCCAGAGTGCTTTCACAAATGTTCCAGAGTCAAACTATTCCTTCCTACCTATGTGTTGTCAGCTTTAACACATTTCAGACAGTGCCAGAACAGACAAGGTCATTCAGAAACACCCCCTACCAGATATTAGCTCTCTGATTATCACCATGCAGTGCCCATTCAGAGTGACATTAAACAGAGCAAATCAACGAGTAATTACATGGATCGAAAGGGAGCAACTACTGCCGTGTGCACACTGTTGGGATGAGGAGGTGAGGACTGCCACAACAAAAGGAACACAAACCTTCCAGCTAGGGATCTTAGATGATGGTAACATGCCTGGCCCAATGGTGTAATAATGAGCGTAGTCTGGAAGGAGGGCTGAGGGAGCCCGAGTCCACGCGCGGGAGACAGGCGGGAAATGAGGGAAAGGACCTGCACCAACTGAAGCTACGGATGGGTCACTTGATAAACTACAGTGATAAAACCCATTAGACAACTGGAAACGAAACAAATACAAAAAAAAACAAAATCAGAGAACTTAATATAAACAGAATGAATATGAAAATACACTGTGACTGATGGCTCGAGGGAGGCAACTTCTGCATCGTAAAACGAAAGAAAGGAAAAGCTTAGCTTTGCTGCACATAAACAACAGGAAATCGACACAATGCTTGGTACAGAAGTGAGATTGCTTGAAAATTGTTATGTGGTGTAACAAATTTCAGACATCAATCTGGCAGGCACTGTCTCCAGGCTGAGCAGCTTTGCCTTCTGTCCATGAAAGCAGTACACAGAAAAAACCTTTGCAATTTAGGTACCCTGCAGACTGCAGACATTGAAACAAAATATTCCCAATACTGGAGGCATTTGCATTGCTGGCATTTGTTCTATGTAGCTGGACAGAGAGGAAAAGCATAGAGCCTTCAAACACGATATGTGCTGGCTGTGTAATGACATGGAAGGAAAAAAGAGGAAACCAACAGCAAGGATTTTCCAGATGAGAATGGAGACTGCTATCACTTCCTCCCCTCATTCAAAGCATATCCCACGGAATTTAGTCCAACCTATTCTTTTGTTTTCGTTTTTGTTTTGATCAAAACCAAACCTCAATTGCTCAAATGCTACCTAATGGGAGCGAGGGGAGAAGCCACAAATAGTAAAACCTGGGCAGGATGCCCTTTGTTAGGCAGCCAGCTGGGTTTGGGCAGAGTTCCACAGACTCTTTGAGTAGAAAAGGTGAAGAAATAAGTTTTTCTTAGAAAATTACCTCTGTAAAATGCCAATTTGTAGCTTCCCCCCCAGCAGCTGACTTAGAGGCAAGTGCCACTGTGGTTTAGTCAATCAGATTTCATGTCTAAGGGAGTGTGTAACAGTTCCTATTCTCATCTTCAAGAGAGGAATCCTGGCTGCTCCCCATGCACTTTATTTGCCCACACATTGCTGGGTTTGGATAACGACCTGGTAGGTTTGTATGTCTTTGAGATGAAGTTTTTCACCTTATCTGTGGAGGCCCAAGCCCCCATGGTGGAGCCTGAGCTGACTGAGGTGGGGGAACTGCACTCGCTCACTGACTGGCAGGTTTCAGAGGCTTCTGAAGAGGCAGAGCTGGACGAATTCTGCAGCGTAAAACAGCACCGCAACGCAGGGGAGGGAGACACAAGCCACCAAAAAGGAAAAAAACCAACACAAACAAAACCAAAAAGACAAAAAGCACATACACAGAGACACACAGGAGAGAGGGAAGGATGAGAGAAGCAAAGGGTTAGGCTTTTGAAATCAATTAGAAACCGCTCAAAACCATTGCTAATGTTCAGGAAATCTATGAGAAACAAAACAAGCCATTTGCTTAATGCGAGAACTTGCCACGCTGCTTGAGAATGAGGGAATTGAGGCATCGATCTCAACTCCCCATTGCGATTTCAGCGTCTCAATTGTGTTAGCTGTCTCAGAGCAAGAAGCTGAGGGAGCTGAAGGCACCTACGGTCCAACCATGCAATATACTGAGACAACCGATTTATACAGAAAAGCAGATCATCAGTACCTCAAAGACACAAAGTTTAGATTTCCAACATGGAGCAGCAAACGGCACTTACAGTCACAAGTTCTCAGATATTCTGATCTGCAAAAGTGCTTGTGAAAAACTCATCTGAGTTCAAATATTATGGAACAGAGAAAGAAGTGATACTTACCCAAACTGGAGGTTTCCATAGTGCGTTATCTGTATGCATGTCCCTCTGTGGGTAGTATGCATACACCAAAAGCACATTGACTCAAACTTTTCTGCCCAGCAGCCAATATGAAGGTTACAGGTACTCTGCTAAGTGTTGGCATGTGCTTGCCACCCGCTTTCTCTTAACAGCAGCGAGAGAAGGGGCTTGGATGGAGAGGGAAGGGAAATGCTGGACAGTGTCCATCAAACACCTCAAACATCTAGCTCCTAGCTAGGAATTTCTCTTCCAGTTTTCAGTGCATGCCTTTAGGTATATTTGCTGCTGTGAGACCTCTATAACAGCATCTAATTCACCTACAGGCAGGCGAAGGCAAATAGCCACATGGATCATTTTACCAACTACAATGCTCTTACACATCTGCCCCTTGGAAGTGGCAGCACCTCAGCTAGGCTGTGTGTGCAGGTCCCACCAAGTGCTCAAAATGGTCAAGTATATTGGCAAAGTTGTCAGGGCAGTACAGAGCTCTATTCACTGCCAGGAAATTCAACACTAGCAAGGCTAATTTATCCTTTGGAAGTCCAAGACCTGTGAAGCAAGTCTGTCTAAACATATCCCTGGCATTTTATTTTAGGACAGCAGAGAGAATGTGCTCTTGTATCAAGTTTCTGTTGCAAAGCCTCAGTTCTCAAGGAACAGCACTTGAAGAGGAAGGGAAATCTCATCTGAAATAAAATTCCATCAGTTAACCTTACATGAGACGTTGGGATGAGTCTGCAATAAAGAGCTGGATAAGAGGCGCTGTAGAGAAGCAATTACTACTAACACCCAGAAGCTGTCTCCCTGCTCACCAAAAGCTATGCATCACGAGTGTATAGCTAATTGCCTAGGTAAAAAGAGCTGTAAGTATCCCAAGACAGAACATCATCACCATAATGATTCTGGTGAAGACTCCTGGGGCTGTTGAGAAGGCAATACAGTACCAGCATCTTGAGCTTATTAGCGAACTGTAGGCTTAAGTGAAACTTTGCAAAGGCTGCTGAAAAGATATAACATGATGGATTATTTTATAGAAATAACACATATCCCATCTTACACTGATGTGAGGTCGGATCTGCAGGTGACCTGTCAAATGTGTTTAGGGTACAAGTAAGCTCAGCTAACAAGGCTTGTATTCCAAGTGCAGGAAGAGCTGAGGTGTATCAGAAGATCAGAAGAAACTAAATCAAATGACACGGAGCTGTTACAGAGAGAAGTGAAAAGCACGCAGTGGGGCACCCGATGATGTTTTGTGGAACTTGTCTTGCTCTTGATTTAATGCAACACCTTTTACAGGAGAAAACCTCTAAAAATAAGAATACTGACAAACATGAGCTGCAGCTGACTCTGCCATCAGACACAATTACTGTACACTAAATGGAAATGAGCCTGTTTCTTCTATCCTTGGAGAAAAATACATTACAGAAAATTAGCTTTTGCACTGAAACTCCAGAGTTCTGCCTGACATCCCAGGTAGCTCAGCAAAAGAAACTGTTTGAGAAGCCCCATGAGAACTCTCACACTAGTGTTACACTTGAGCCCCCGGAAAAAGAAAAGGAGAGAAAAATGTAATTACAGAAAATGCTTTCTGAAACCTCCCATTTATGGCCTGAGAGGCCCTCCTGGGTCTGCACACTCTGCATGCAGCAGGGCACAGAGAGAAGGGTCTGAGTTCCACACATGGCATCATGTCACCTTGTGTTCTGCAGATGCCTCAGTGATGACAAATAAGAATTTGGAGTTTACATCTGATAGACTATTCCTGTTTACAAGCTAGAAACTTCATGAGAATATGTCAAGTAATGGTAGAAATGGGCTATAAATGAGGTTTATTAGCAATAAAGCTGCATGTAGAAAACAGATGGGAAAAGGCCAAAAATGCACATTCTGAAGATGCAAAGAACTGTTCCATTTATCTGCTGTCTGGGGAAAAAAAGCCTGGAAGTGGTGAACTTATTTTTGCAACAAAATGACTCCAAGGTGAAAAAAAGATGGAAGACAGGACTCTCCCATCAACTCAGCTTGGCCATTTTCAGCAGGCAAAGCTAGACCAAGGTGAGCCAAGATGCCATGGAGAGAACACCTGGATAGCTGAAGGAAGTGCAAGAAGTGGTGGTAGGGAAACAGGGTGTCCTTGTCTTGAGAAACTTGGATGGCACAAGGAAGGTCTTCCTAAAAAAGGATTATAACAGCGAGAAACGATGGAGAAGGAGGCAGAGAATGCTGAACTCCTGAAGGAAAGGTGTTAAGAAAACATGAGTGACAGCAGGTCAAAGTCTGCCTGGATCAGACGGCAGAAACAGTTTGGAATGGTTGGAGCCGGCTGTGGGAAGCACAGACCACCCTTTGTTTCTTAGCAGACAGTACATGAGGGGATGAAAACAGAAACTGCACAGTCACTGCTTGGGCAAAAAGCCTCTAAACGTTTGAATGCCTGTTCTAGGTGAACTGGCACAGGGACTCCTGGAGACACAGGCAAACGCCAGCCAGAACAGCTTCTACTCCACACCCCACAGAGTGAGAACTTTGATTACTGGATGATTGCAACTTATTTTTGTCAATTCCTTTTTAAAATGATGGTTTTGTTTGAATAATTTTTAAAATGACTTCTTCCTTTTTAGCTGTTTTAACCCTGGGAGGTAAGTTTTCGTCCCCACAGCTGCAGTAATGGTGGTTCTGCTCTGCACTCAAACCAGCTCTTCTGAGGGAAGGCTTGAAGTTAACAGTATCAGCAGAAAGCCAAAACTGAGCTCTGCCCAGTAATAACCAGTTCCTCAAATGCATGTTGTACATGTGTAGCTTGGCATCTGTCTCTCAGACATTGTGCCAAGGCTTGTTCTTGGGTACTGTCCCACTGCTTGGTGTGGTACGTATGAATTCCAGTAAGGATAGGAAAAAAAAGCTGTATTTTGGGCTACTGGAATGTATGATTATATCTTCCATCTGTTGTCCTACTAACCTATATAAGGACCGCTGTTATCTTGGATTACTTGCATCCTTTGCTTGCTATGTTTTCCATTCAAATACAGTATTATTTACTTAACCCCTTCCCTTCCTCAGCTACTGAACAGAGCTCCCTGGGCTCTCCCAAGAGACCAAATCTTAATGAAGAGCTTAGTCCAATGTCTCTCTACAGTCAGTGGAAGACATCTCAGTTACCTTTTAAAAACCTTTGGGTAGTGACTCAAAGTCACCACCTCAATGTATCTCACTTCCAGGAACGCCTCTATTGACCTCTCTTTTCTAGTCAGGGACAAACTGCTGGGAAACTGAATTTAAAAAGGAGGTTTAGGAGAAACAAATGCCAGGGATAATTTACACATTTATTTCAAGGTTTGGTTCTGGTTTAAAGGTCTGATTTGGGAGCAGTTCTTAATTTACATGGAAAACAGCTGTAACAATATATTTCCCCTATTCTAACCTCAAGCTATTGAAAAGCAATGGGGTCTTCTAAAAGCAGTACGTTTCCAGCTTGCTAATCTGTACATGAAGAAGCAAGTTCACATTTAGCTTCCTTCTACTTCACTGTTTAGAGAAAGCAATTTCCAGAATACTCTAACAATAAAGACTTAGTCCTCTGATGTTTGACAGCACATAAACAGTTTCTTCTCTTCATCTGCTTCTTTCTCTCCCCTTGCCTTCATCCCCGTGAAGTCATAAGCAGCCTCTAAAATCCAGCTGTATAATTACTTCCCCCAGTGTTTCTGGACTCCAAGTCCACTGATCCTTGTATTATTATCCTCAAATATAACTGTGCTACTACCACATTACTTCATCTACTTCATCACAGATACTCCCAGATTTCAGTTTGTCTCCTACATAGGGCAATGTGTGGGTTTAGCAGCACCAGCCATGTTCAGTGTTCAACCAGAGAGAGCTACTCTGTGCTCCCAGCAGTGGGTCTCTGGTGTCAGTACATGCCCTAGGCAATGCTGGCCATGGCTGACCTCACATGTGGCATTCAGAGAAACTGCTCTGCTCCAAGAAGAGACCTGTGATGCTTTTCCAGCTGTTCAGCTATACCCAAATGTACTTGCTTAATTAAGAATAAAGCACTTTACAGTGACCTTTTTACATGTACAGCTGTCTGTTACAGGCCAACACTTTTACTCCCAGTAATGTTAACAGCACACTGAAGAAAAGCAACTGTTCCAAACCAGTGTAAGGGCAGAGTCTGGTTTTGTTACTGCTTTTTCCCTGTCTTCTATGCAGAGTGTGATAACTGTGAAGACTTACTGCTTAGCAGCTATGAGTTGAAAAGCAGTCTTCATTTTGCCAGTCTCCTCTCCTCTGGTATAATCTTTATCTTCTTTAAATCTCTATTTTGTTATTCCTTTATATAATATATAAATTATTCCTTGTTTGAGACACCCCTTGCCCCAATCTGTGATTGATTTCCAGTGACACTTGTCTAAAATGTAGGTGAGAGCATAAAAACTTCACGTAATTCATATATTCTCATTCCCATAATATGGGAATTTTATGTAGCCCTCTTCTACTTTTTAATTTAAATCCATTATTAAAAGAAAATCAGCGTTGTTGCCTCAGGAGATGCCACAGCACGTAGCTAGCAAACATCAGCAAAGCGCCCACCTGCGCAAGATATAGAGCTTTTAATTTCCTTTGTTGATTCCAGAGCTTGCTTTTCTGCTTTCCCAGTGTCACTACTAAAAACAATGACATCAGTGTCTTAAACACAGCAGCTGAGACTGCTGCTCCTCCCCACCCAGCACCGAGCCTCAAAAGCACAGTACCACAAGGAAGATCTGTCAGTTGTTAGAGACACACAACATGGAATAACGCTGTAAATTGAACAGCTTCTCGGTAAGCTCACAATCACAATTATCTGTCAGCACAACACACACAATTTACTTAGTGCTGAACATACAAAGCAAGACACTTAAGCGAAGATGAAGCGGCCAGGCAATGATCTGTTACCTTTCCCTCTGCGTAAAGGTAAACAGACCTAGAGACATACAGAGCACATACCTCTTTGTTATACCAACACACTACACTTGTCAACGCCATACTGCTGCAGCCTCCTACAGCTCATTAATAGCTCAAGTGATGCTTGGATCAGTTTGCAACTTTAGGGATGGTTTCTAAAGTGAAGTGAAAGCATACGAACTTAGCTGGTGCCAATCAGCATGGTTCCCATCAACTTACAGAATGTTCTGCCAGCTGACACCAGCCTAAGTTCCCTCCCCTGTTTAACAGGGGAACTTGCAAAGAGAGGTATTGGGTTTTTTCCATGCTAAGGGCAATTGCAAAGTTACATCCTCATCTGCAAACACAGCATCATCATGGAAATTACTGCCCTTTTATGCAGGTGCAGTGGATACTATGAAAACCAGAGATGATGCTAGCGTGTATAACGGATGGATGTACCTTAAAAGCCAACTTCCTTACCTTGTTACTATTGCAGTTTACTTTATTATTGTTCATTTACTTTTTTGCATTTCACTTAGGTTAGCCATAGCCAATCTAAATGGAACATTTGTTTTAGTAGTGTGCACAGAGTTCTTCAGGATGTCATCTATAAAAAATGGTGATGTCCAGACTGGGGACAGTGCAGAAGAGGCATTCATTTGAAAAGAAAGCATTTCTAGTAAAATGAAAGAGGTAAATATATTAAACTGCTGAGCTTCCCTTGAGAACATGTTCCATGCTTAAGTGAATCTGTGGTGTTTTGGATGATACCCTAAAAATGTCACTAAATGTTACTCACTAAATGCTCTGCAAAAGTAAGGGTCTACGTGCTGTCAAAGGTGGTGCAGGGGCAGTTTCAGTGTACAGGTTACACTTGATAACCACTGACACTGAAACTGTTAGCTCCTTGCTGGCTGGAAGGATTAAAACCATCAACTCCCCCGCACAGGAAAAGGAGCAAGCTACATTTATTAAACTAAAGGACAATCTTCTCCAGTGACCTCAGGGTGTAGTAAAAATGAGTGGTACTCAAGAACAGGATATTAACTCTATCTCAGTTTTGCAACTGAGATTTATGATGGGATTTTTAATCTGAGACGGCAGCTCAGCCTTATTTAAAAAATACTGCAGTTGCAGTGTGATTTGATAAAAAAAAAAAAAATAGAAAAGAGAAATCCTGTGCTGGAAGATACATGCCATGGAGGCACACGAGCCTCTGCCTGCAGGTGGCCACCTACTTTGTATAGGAATGATGCCATGAATAAATAGAGCAGCAACTTCCTCCTGCAGACTTACAAATGCTTTGGCAAAGTTTTGCTTGTATTTGTAGTGAAATCCTTTTAAATTTGTCTGTGTTCAGGATCTTATATATGACTGTGCAAACACTTCTGATGAGTTCCATAAAGAATTAAAAATACCTCGAACACTCATGCAGAAACCTTATTTCTGCAAGGTGCTCAGTTGAGGATCAAAAAGAGCAGCCCCATCCACAGAAAGGGATGTCATAAAAAGCCACAAAACCAATTTCATATGATACCATTAATGGCATTCTGATTATTCCAGGCTCTTTGCAGGGTAGGGTAAAAGTAGTCTGTCTGATGCTGAAGCCACTAGTGTCAATACTAAGGTTGTCAGAAGGCTGTTCTGGCACTGATATTTGTCCATTAAACAGTAAACAGCCACCAGGTATCAACAACTTGCAATCTGTGCAGGATATTAACTGGTAACCTTAGTGAGTCAAGTGAATATTATTCCCTCGTGTAAGGTGGGACTTCTTGCTCTTTCTCATCTGTCTGTATCTGAAAGTTAGGCATCTAGGCTCCCTCCAGAGCCAGAGTGAAAGCCAAATTCCTTGAGAGCAACTTATCCCTTTCTTCAGGGATGCTGCAAAAGCAACGTAAATCACTCCAGCTAGAGGCCCAACTTTTAGATGGATGAAGTGTAGTGAGACCAACCTTACCCTCAGTGTTTCACCTGACTCCAAGGTACCCCAAAACCACACCAGATCCTTCTGTGAAAGGTGAGCCAAGTTAGAGAGGCCAGCTCACACTCAGGTTTTTGTTCTCATGCTTGCACGTACCTGGTTAGGTGCTTCTGGTGGCATGGGGGATGGCGATTTGGACTGGAAAGCATCCTGGGACATGAATCCAGAATCATGGGAGGACACACTGGACAGCCTCATGGGTGCCTGCTGAGGCAGATTGGAGCTGCGATAGCGATAGTGTGAACTAGGTGAGTGCGAGTGCGAGCCACTGGACCGGGAATCACTACTGTTAACGCTGTTCAGACTGCTGTGAGAGACAAAAGGAACAAAGAAAGGAAAGGGGAGAGGAAAAGACACAAGGGCGGGGTGGGGAGAGACCCATATACAGTACAATTAACATTCCACATGTCTCTAGCAACAGGCAGCATAAACCGGAAAAGAAAAAATGTTGACAAATTAAATATATATATATATATGCACATATATATCAGTAAAGAACCATAAGCAGCTGCAGTATCCCTTGGGACTAGAGAGAAAATGGCATTTTACCTTCAATTTTACTCAAATTGAATTCTGTAACCACTCAAGAGTTCAAAGTCAGGTTAGGGATGAAGGGATGGATCACTATATGCCCTCTAGCATTTGCTCAGCACTTGCACAAAACCCCTCTGCTGATGGCTCTCTCCTATTCTCAACTTCCACCTTGTTGCTCTCGCACCATGGCCCAAATTTTCAATGGGATCTCTAGCAAGGGGGCAAAGGCATCACAGTTCATCCAGAAGTCTGCCTCTAGGCATGCCATTGCAGTCAGACTAACCTAGTTAGCCTAGTCAGTCACCAGGCCAACCGGTGAGACTTTTGAAAGCAGCATCAAAACCTTATGCTTCAGAGTACCTGGAATAAGTTATGCTCACATAAAGGCTTCCTACCAGATAAAAACCATGGAAAACCATGGGAAACTTCTGAGTGAAGTCAGACTTCTGGGTATGTAGTTTAAATCAGTAAGATGGTCAGAGAATTAAAACTCCAATGAATATCCATAAAAATACTTGAGTTTTCAAACAAAGAGATTGATTTTTAATCTCTAATATCCATGAATGACAGCAACGACATGCCGGCAACGTGGGAGCCTCTGAAGCTTCCTGCTGAGGTGGCTGAGCAGGACTAGCAGGATGCATCAATCTGAAGGCAGCTTCCTACTTTTGCTGACAGGAGCCCACTGACTAGCTGAAAGGATGGCTCTGAAAGATACTCGAGTGAGGACTGCACCTCCTGTTCACAAATGCCATGTACACAGAAGACGTCCAAGTCAGCTTGGAGCAGGGGAAGAGGAGATCTGCCTTATTCTACCCACACACAACAGTCTGTTGTTATACAGGTTTTACTACACAAGAAGATGAGGTTGATTAGGAACAGATGATGAAGTTTGGGGTTTGCTTTTTTTTTTGCCATTTTCTTTTACAGCTTCAGGATATTGCATCTTTAAGCTTGTGCTCATTGCTCTAAATATGCATGTTTTCACATATATATATAAAAGTACTGAAGTTTTTTTTTATATATATCTGCATGCAGAGACAAGTAGGTACATAGGAGAAGTCATGTTCACTTGCTCTGACATGCTATAGGTAACTTTGCTCATACACAGGGAACCTGCAGTACGTTATTCATAAAGCAAACTAAAAGGTAATCATTTGAGAGCAGCTAGAAAGGTGTTGAGCAGAATACACAATAGGGTATCTTCCTTTTCAGTAAAAGGAAAGAGTAAATGTAGACACCAGGGTATGGGGGCAACATGCTAATAAACTGTTTTATGAGAGAAAACAGTTTTTTACAGAGAAAGCATAGACAGAATCCAGTGTTTCAACATATTCCAGGACAGCATTAGACAGCATTAAACAGTCAAAAAAACTTGTATCGAAAAAGCATTTCCATCTACCAGACTGATAGGGCAATTGCCAAGGATGTTTTTCCTTTTTCAAACAGTCTAACTGATCAGTAACAGCTACTCAGAATAATATAAAAGGTCATCACATGAAAACAGAAAAGGAAATTCTGAATGAACAATTTCAGAGCTTAGATTAGTACAGTCTGCTCTTTGATCTGAAATGGATTCAAGAGAACTGAATCAAAAGCATCTTCAAGTTGCCTTGAGTTCAAAAGTTGTTCAGTCATGCCCATCTGTTTCAATATTCCCAGTCACATACTTAAATGGATAAAGACCATGAGGGGTTGATTTCATTAAGAGTCAATATTTAAGTATGCATATAAATCCGTATCACAGTCTGAACTTGCTTCCCTTTGTCCCCCAACAGGTTAACATTAAATATTACCAGTCCACTTACCTGCAAACACTAGATTTTCTGGACATGGTAGTACTGGGAGAGGATGGAGGAGTCTGATAAGACCAGCTGTAATCAGAACCTTTCAAATCTAAAATTACCTGATGAAAGATAATCAATAGCATCAAGGACGTGGAATTCCCCCCCGGTTAACAGAAAGCATCTGCTTGTCATACAACATTCATCACCACAACAACCTTTCCGTGCCAACTGACCCAGTCTCAGTGTTCTTCCAGAATTACACTGTGTATGTTACTCAGATGAGGCAGCTTCATCCTTAGCTTTTCAGGAGCTACCATACTTCAACACTAGGGCTGCTATCAGAGACGGAAAGCTCAGATTTGAATGGAAACATCTTTGAAGAGTAAACTGAAGATTCATTTTATGCATGCTCTTTTGTTTTGTTACAAAGCATTACAGCCTTAGGGTTTAAAAACTGTTGCATTTTAAAAAGTTAATCAAAGATCCAATATTCAACCACAGCAGAGCTTCCCTCCTGCACATGCCATCAAGCTATCTAATCCCAGCAATCTTGCAACCATAAAATACAAGGATGCTGAAACGTAAGGTGAGGAGATGACACTCCTTCCTCATGTACTCTGAGCACGAACTGGGCATCTTCATATACGTCAAAGTGTCACTGCTACCACGTCACACTGGTCTCACCAAATACTTCAGGAGCACTCAGTCAGCATTTCAAAACCTATTTTTTTTAAATTTGTTGTTTAAAATGACCTTGCTGCACTGAAGCATCTACAAAACACAACGTTAAGGCGCTAAGTGCGAGTAGTCAATATTCCTCATAACACAGACAGAAAACCGCTACAAATAAAAACGTTTTCAGATAACCAGGACTAACCTGTTCACTTGAAGATGGCAGCTTGTGTGGATCCATGGTGAGACTTTTCAGGTCATCTGATATGGTTTGTAAATGGGTTATTTCTCCTAGCATTGATATTTCTTCTTCCTTGAAAGACAAAAGAGCGAGGCTAATCACAGCCTTACTTTTAAACATCACACCCATAACACAATACAGGACCTTCTTCTTTTTGCTGATGACTGTAGGAATGCACAGCAGAGCTTTTTTCTTTGCCCATTAATTGTTTCTTACGAAAGAGGACTGAAAATATTAAGAGCATAATAACTACTTTGAGATTGCTGTCAGTTCTGAGGCCCAGAAATCGTTTCATCAATGAGATAAATAAGTCTCAGTCTTCTTGATATGACATCTTCAGAAAAGAGAATGTCATTTCTGCTGCCTTTGTAAGATTTAACTCTTCCATGTACACTCACTAGTATGCCCTAAGGATTTTAACCTTGAACATAAACAGGGACTAAACTCATTTGCTAGTTTTTGGAAACTTTGAGATAAATGAACTACACAGGTACAGAGCATTAATACATCTATGATTCACTCTGGCTCGAGGTACATCAACAGCTAACTCAGACGATTCCTGCACTGTAAATTACCATGGTAATACCTTAGCTACCATGCTGATTTCATCCAGGTCCTCAGAGTCTGGAATTCACATCCTCCTGCTCAGCCATCACCTCCCTACTTCTCTAAGCATGATTTCCTGTTGAGATTGGTGCTCTTTGTAAACAGGCATTGGGAACATCTTCCTGGTACGCTGGAGGCCTTTCAGAATGCATCATGCTTGCACAAAGCCATAAACAATTCATCACTGGGCTTCAGACAATCTCAGATGATGACAATATACCCAAACCTTTTCAATGAACTGAAAAAGCTGTCATGTAGGAGGAAAAGAGCTACCAGAAAACTGCAAGGAAGCAGCCCGCCATCTGTCAGCTAATGTCATCTTATACACACAGGGGAGGTCTTGAAACATTTACCAGTCCTAGGACTGGAGTAAGGCTAAGGAAGATTTATATTAAAGTGGGATGTTACAGAAAAAAGCAGTGGAAAAACTGCATTAGCAATGTCTCAGGTTGGTATGCGTAAGGAACTCAGGCCCACTTAAATCTTTGTGCCCACTGCTCCCCCATTAGTCATCCTGAAAGAATTCAGTGTCTTCCATCCCTGAATTACTCCAAACGCCTAAAAGAAAGGTCCTGACTCTTGCCACTTCTAGGCAGAGATGCAGGTTGAATTTTGGCTCTCAAAATGCCCTCGTAAGATGTAAAGAGATACTCTTTTTAGAGACTTTTGGCCATTTATCTAATTTGTGAATCATACTGACATAAAATGGAGAGCTCTTACTATCACAGGGCGCAGCATGGAGATGAAAGCACAGAATCGACCGCGCTCCTCAATCAGAGCTTTTCTGACAGCTTGCTTCTCGGTTTCTTCAAGCAGCAGGTACTTATCATTGACATCTTGTAAAGCACTGTCCAACTGGGGCTGAATGTCACCCCGTCCTGTATGGAGGAAACAATCAAGAGTACATTCTGTCAAAACTGTGGTTCTCCGTAGAGGAAACCTCATTTTCAGCCAGCAATGCTGCTGGATTGTGCTTTTGCAATGCTAGTCTCAAACAGCATTTTCCCTCTTTCAAATTAGTATGTGGGTTCTTCCCCAACTAAACCAGGCATTTCATGTCATTTTTTTTCGCTCTTGCCCAGAATATAAATCCAGATCAATTCAAAAGGGTTCAACAAGCCAAACACAGCATTTCATATGAGGGTTTTCTCAAAGTGTTAGCTGTAGGAACCCTTCACACCATCCTTGCTGAAAATCAACATCTTGCTAACAGGGTAAGCATTAATCACTACCTGCAGGTAATAGTCCTTTTTCCTTCCTACTTTTAGGAAGTAAAACTACCTACTTTATTTGTCATTAGCAAGGTCCTAATGACAACTTTGCAGGGTCACTAAATGAGTGCATGGATCTCCTATATGAGATGGTATTAAGGACGTGTTACTGGTCAGTGGATCACTGGATTCAAGTACTCTACAGAAGCAACTGCTAAACCAGTTTTCTTTGTTCCAAAGTCCACAACAAAAACCACTTATCAGCATCACAAGCACACATTAATGTCCAGTATTTGTCTATGGAAATAAAAAAGAAAACAATGAAAAAACTTCCAATGTTTTGCAATCAAGAAGCTTCACTCTCTTAATTCAGCCAACTCATTAACACCGAAACATTCCATGATGGTTAAGTACCTTATTCTGCACCAACTGCTTACTCTGCATCATGCCAAAAGATTTACTTCTCTAGGAATGAAGAGCTACCGCTCAGCTTTAGTGCTATTGAGCCAACAGTGTCACAGTTGCAAGATGTTTTTGTGCACCCCTAAATATTTTAAAGCACCTCAGTTGTGTAAATCTGACTCAAATCTCCCAGAAACACCATCACATGCATGAGTATCTAGGTACATATCCATGACACTGTTACTGAACACCAGGGAGTTAATATTGGAAAATGGTGGGTGAGTTACAAGCAGCTACCCAAAATCAATTTTTATGGACAATAACCTTTCTACATAGAGGATTTACAGCTGTGAGCAAGAGGAAGAAAAAGGTCTCTTGATGTGTGTAGTACACAATGCAGAAGACTCAAGGTCAGGGTTACAAAACCTTTGCCTTATTACCATATGTACTTCTTCCATACTCCAGAGCAAGGTAAAGTCATCAGCTCCACTGCACTGAAACACAGCCGGAGCCACAGGAAAGACAGCAGTGACAGAAGCAAAGAGAATCACACGAGTTTAGTGACATTACAGACTGGAGACACACGAATCTTCTCCATACAGAGTTAGACAGAGGTCAGATAAAACTGCACAGACACCCACAAGCAGAGTTCTGTGATGAATCACATGCAGTGCAACACAGGCACAGCCACTGCCAAATCTACCTGGGTACCAAACTGTCAGCGAAACACCCAGTGTCTGATCCTACAGGTCAGGCTGACTGGTGTATTGTGGCCATGAAACTGTTGTGGAAGTAAACAGCTTTAACAGAAATGGACTCCGAAGTTGCAGTCACCTGCTTCCTCTCTCAAAAGTAGCATCAGCCAGAAATAAGTTACAGAAGAGTCCTAGATAACTCCGTGAAGGTACTGTGCCTTCTCTTCTGTCATCCTTAGAAGATAAACTGGGCCCTTCTGCTTGAAGACTGTTCTGTACATTTCAGGCTCTTCCCCATATTCTTTGCTATTAGATGCAGCAATTACACATTCTACTCTTCTCTGGGACTGTTCTTTTAAATTCCTTATGAAACCAAGACCTGTGTTATTGCTCAGACCCCTTATTTAGAGAGCTGCCTGGAAATTACAACAGGCAAAATAATCTCCAGTTGTTCAAACTAGATACTGGCTCACTACCATGAGTGTACCAAAGGCAGAATATATTAGTTGCTAACTAAATCACATACTCGTTAGCTCAGCTCTAGAGAACTGCTGTAAACATTCAGCTGCTCCACCATATGATCATGCACATAACACAGTAAACCCTTGCTTTAGCATTCACCTACGCGATGAGAAGGCACACACTTAGAAAGCAGCTGGACTCCACTGATAAAGTGGGTTTAATTATAGTGAATTTTGATAATTTATGTGGACCTCAGAGCACCACATCTTGGACCAGAGCAAAAAGAGCACCCAAAACATGGGGCAAAAATGAACCTCATTTGTACCTGTGTTACTCAATCCAGTAGTTATCAGGATAATGTTTATCTGTGTATTTTAAACCTCTGGCAGAAGTGTATGTAAAACTGCATTGCTCCAACATCCTCTGCAAAGGATGTGCAGACCTGGCTTTATGCTATAAAACCTATATAGTCCTATAGTCCGTGGAAACATGCAAGCTGTCTGGGGCATCACTCAGAGCAGGAAACAAGCTTAGGTGAATCATTCAGATGAGGCTCTGAAGTCAGATGTTTACACGGCATGAATACAGCTGTCTCCTGATGTCTCCTTGCAACTCATCTTTTAGGAGCAGGAAAGCTTTATTAACATCCTTTAAAAGCTCCAAAATGCAGATGTCATTCTAACAAGCCTTTTGAAATCAGGCGTTAACTCTTCCCACTCCCTGAATCACCAGTTGCCTCCCATGGCACTCAGCTTGGGAATTTGAGGGACAAGATCTCTGCACAATTTCACCAGTGTCCTTTGCTAAGCAAAGCAGAGCATATCCCCTTGATAGCACTCCTGCACCCAGAGGACACTGAAGATGTGAGGGCCAACTGCCCATCACCTCTGCTCCTCATCTACCTTGTAACTCTGCCAGTTTGAATCCACTGCTCCTCTCAGAAGGGAACATTGACCACTAGAGAGCAATGCAATTCTTTTCCTCTTTCAATTACAAGGAGGTCACTTGTCTATGGCATCCCTGACAAATGACTGCACTGTTTTTGCCGTGGACATGAAGCACACTCTCATAAGGAACATCACCAATTGATGATTCTCTCCAGCCCGTGTTCTCTGGCCTTTATGTTACTGGTTCGGAACACAACTATCTAATGAAAGAAAATAGTTCCAGATCAGTCTTACCATGGGCCAGCTGCATAAGTACATCAGAAAGGGCACTCCTACCCCAGCTGCAGACAGGTCTGAACGACCCACCAAAGCAATCAGCATTAGCAATGGTCAACAGCATCAAATGTAGTCACGGCCCTCTGGTCTGCAGCCAGGCAGACATGAATGTGATGGAGGGATGGTTCTGCAGAACATGCCTAGCTGCACTTGGAGGAACAAGTCAATAATCTGAAAACCAAGGAGAAATCCAAACCCAGCCTTTCCCAAACTGGAGCTCTGGTGTCGCAGAGAGCAGCAGAAATGCAATACCAGAAGTTGCGGACCAACTCCTCCAACAGCCTGGGGACTTGTGGATTGACACAGGCAAGAAACAGCTAACTGAACTGCTTCTCATCAGTACTAACACGAATCCACTGCGACTCCAAGGACAGCCTTCACATGCTACCTTCAGAGGATGTGCTTCACATCATTACCATGATGTAGAAGTGCTTTAAGGGACCGGCATGCATTAGAGCCTCAGGTTTAGAGCATTCTGTGTGACTCCTGGCTGAAAGCCTCACACAGCTTCTTAAATAATCACTGCTGAAAAAGAACTTTAGTAAATGAAATGCATTAGGGACAAAGGAAAAAGTAAATTTAATTTTAAACCCAATTTCATGCCTATATTTTATAAGACGAACTAGCAAAGCTATCAGAAACAGGAAAGGAGAACAGTGATTTTTAAATGCTGGCAGTGTAAGTCTGACTGCTAGAGTTAATGCTGTTATTGACAAAGTAAAATATTGGTGATTCATTATTACTGCAGCAAATAATGGTGACATTTTCCGCATTCTCACTTAAAGAATGCTCCCTAGCACTTTTTTAGGTGTCTACACAGAATCTGAATAATCAATACTGGACATTTTGCCAGGATGAACAATCACTCTAAGTCCTGCACAGTAAAGCCAGTAAATAAACTAATATAGATATAAGCTGAGAATGGAAGGATTTTGCCACCAATAGGTGGGAAAAAGTGGAAAACCTCATTGCTAGGCTTAAGTGCAGACCCCTTCAGCCACCAAATCTGAGTCGTTCTGGTGCCCACTGGAGATCTAAGGTGTCCCTTAAAAGAAAAGCTCCAAGTTACCAAAGGGAACTTCCAGACTGAATTACAAACCAGGAAAACCACAAAGGGGACAAGCAGCAGGCACCAGGGTGCCCAGCTCCCAAAGCCTCACTGAGATGCCTCAGCCAGGGTTACAATCAGTTTATCTCCTCAATCCAGGCTTCTCCAAAGGGCAACACCTACATCATCACACTTACAAGGGGAGATATGGTTATTTCTCTCAAACTCAGAAACACCGCGTTTCACTCGCAAAAAAATCTCAAGGCAGCTACTTTAAATCTGCAATACAACTTGAACAGCATTCCAATTTAAACAGATTTGAGATGGGATCAGGCAGGAGACAATTGTGATGCTGATTTCCACCCCTTCCCCAGCACGCCGTTAAATATAGCGATTTCTTACCTATTGGTTAAGAAAGGCGCATGCGATTTTCAGAGAAAGGGGGACTCAGATCACAGGTTTACAAAGAACAACACTAAGGACTTTAAGCTCTAGACTTTAAAAGTCATATTAATTATTAATAAGATATTCAGTTATTCGAACATCACCTTGATGACGTGTCTATTCCATTTAACTTCTCTCCCAAGTGACATGACTTATCAGTCCATGTTAATCCCTTTCTAATATACACCAGAGGTTTATCTACAATACTGATTTTCTTCTTTTACAGCATTCCAATTAGATGCCAAAAGAAAATAAATCAAAAAACGGTTTGTTCATTAAGTGGTATTTTAGTAGTTTCATTAGAAATTAAAGTCTAGGCAGTTAGTTGAGACCAGACACCATAAAGAGGCCACAGCAAGGGCTACAATAAACCAGCCACCAGGGTTACAGCATGGCACAGACTTACCCAGAGCCTCAGCTGTCAGGCGGGTGCGCATGGTGAGAAATTGCAGGACACAAAATTGACACAGAAAGGAAAATAAAAAAAGTCAAACTGGTATTCCAGCATTCCTGGAGTGCAGACATTATCATCAGCGCCAAGACGAGAGACCGAGCGGTTCGCACTAGACTATTCTGACTTCTTCCATTGCTGATAAAGACAAAGGCGTTAGCTTTGCTTCCTGAAGAGCTGTTGCAAGTTAAACTCCCGGTTATTTACCATAAGGTTTTATTTTAAGAGTCTTAAAGCAGTTTAGGAACTTAGTTTAGCTTGCAGATCCCCAGGTGAGAACATGCTAACCCGTGCTTTAGAGAAAGGGCACAAGACAGCCAACCGCCAAACTCTGGTGAAGCTGATGAAGTGGCACAAGGCTCATCCCCTCACAGGGAGGGGGAACTCGGACTTAACAAAACTCTAGGTGGGTGCTGCACTAGAAACCACAGTGCTTTTTGATGTTCTCTGCTGCAATTACATTAATAGATTGTTAATTAAATGAAAAGCTAATTGCTGAAGCAATGTGGAAGAACATCAAACAGATTAACCATGATATGTAGATTTTCATTTAAAAACTTTATATAAAATGTTGTGCAATAAACCTGGCTTGCTGTCAAAAAGAGGGAACTATCAAAAGGCATTCAAAGCTCCAGGAATGAAAATAAACCAAAGAAATAACTCCAGCCATGGATTTTGCAATTTATTTTCACTGAATTCACTGAAGTGGAGCTTACATTACAAGCTTAGGGAGGGAAATAAGAAAAAACATCAAAAACCCCTCAGGCACCATGGCCTCATCCACACAGGATTTTCCCCCTGAAACAGATAAGGGTAATTTTCTCATTAGCTTCCCTCTTTCTGAGCTGTATCACACCAACTCTGCAGTGAGTCCTGGCTCTCACTTCAGTCATTATGCCACACTTGACCACTTTAGAGGAACAAGGGCATCTCCGGTGGAGAAAGGGTCTGGGCAGGAGCCTTCCCTCCGCAGCCTGCCACTTCAGACCGGGCATGTGTCAAGTATAGAAACAGTGCAAAGTACTTGAATGAGAAGGTGAACATGTGCTTTAAGACCTGAGATGTTCTTTGGTTGTAATTACATCGAAGAACTTTGTTTTTCAGTTAAGAGTCAGGGTTTGTGCAAACATCGTTGAGAGCACTGTAAACGATATTACAGTTTCAAAGGCCAGAGCGTAACACAAAACCAGCAAAGGCTCTACAACACAAACAGGTCATCTTTGCTAACCAGAAGGAGGGGAAGAAAAGGCACTTTCGGCAGTATTACAAGAAATGAATAATGATGTTTCTCTCCCTCAACTTCATTAAAAGTGAGAATACTTTCCAAAACTGCTGCATACACAAAATCAGGGGTGGTGAGTTTGGATACTCAGCACTGTTGGGACAGAAGAACAAATGTTGTACTGAATGTTAAGGGCATTCTACAGAAACCTCTGGGAATGACTTAAGAGATAAAAATCAGTTTTCACATTAACATGTGTATGTACTATTGAGAGAATGTTACATATAACTCCTTTTCACACATCTGCTTGGATTTAAACATTGCCACACACAGCGTCACATGAAGAACCTGAAAATGAAACCTGCCAGCCAAGTTATAGGCACAAGGGAAATCTGCCTAGTTAGTCATCAACAGCCAAGGTGAAATACAGAAAATGTGCACTCTAGATTTTACACAGACATTCACTTCTATTTTAAGTTAGTCACTCAACTATTTTTATTAAAGTAAGCATCATGAATTTGATTAACCTTCCAAAACGGTCACATGCAGAGCCACAGCTGCTGTCTATGCTCTGAATTCAGTATAGCATCAACAGCTTCCAGCAGCTCTGGATCCACTCATGAGGCCTTGACTCAGCAGAAACCTAAACATGGGATTTATTTTAAATATGTGCATAATTATTGTGCTGACTCAGGTTTGCTGGGCTGCCTTCTGATGCGCCATGTTTGTCTGAAAACAAAGAGCAATTTAGAAGAGGTATCCAGGCCCATGCATTACGTAGCTTCATCTGTTCAGACAAGACTGAAGTTTCAGTGCTGGGGTGGGCAACAAGTCCTAAGGGCCTGTTTTCATTGGGAACAAAAGCATGAGGAAAGGATGCACCTCAAAGACCACCGTGACATCCCCAGGGACTGCATGGATCTGGGAGGTGCACCAGGATCCTACTTAGACTTCACACACTTTGACTACATATGGGCTTATTTTATTTAACAGTCAAAGAATGAAGATTATCCCTGTAAGGTCTTCTGAAACGAACACCTTCATTTACACAGAGACTTGTCATTTTACCACGTATGTTCTTGCAAACTTCCAAAAAGGATCCCTACATTCTTTTTGTTTTATTGGGAAAGCCTGGTGTTTTCCCCATCACTTCAAGCCTTGGGAACACCTTCACTGCAACTAACACACCTGTCCTGCAAACATAATTTCTAAGAAATTGTTTTAAATGCCCAGCCTGAACTTTCAACTTGGCCACATGGAACCAGAACAAACAGACCATGCATAAGACAAAGATCAGGTGAATCCCAATGTATCAGCTCTGCTAAGGTGGAGTGCCCAACCTTGTGGTGCTCCTGCCAGGACAAGCCCATGGCCCTTTCTCCCAAACATCCTTGGGATGCAGAAACTGCTCTGCAGGCTGCACATACTGGCTACAAGAGGGAGCCTCTGCAGCCCGATGTGGCAGGGAGAGAGAACACCAATGCCATGACACGAATGAGAAACGTAGAAGGTTATATTTGAGTTCCCAGATCTGAAACTGCCCAAAGCAGAAGAAAACCATTTTCCCATCCAGTCAGAGCAGAAAAAGCTTGAAGGGTGGTTTTTAGTAGCATGCACAGTATTTAAGCAAATCCAGAATTCAGCAAACATCTCACTTGCCCACAGATGATCATAATGTTAACTCAAAAATAGCCTTAAAGCACTAGGAAGGAAATGACTTGGTTGTTCTAGAGTTCCCATAGGTGAGTAAGTAACTTTACAGAAAAACGAAAGGGACAGGTCCAGCTTGAGGAAGAACAGAACAAAGAAATGTAAGTCCTTGCAACAGGGGAACAGGAGAGTTGAGGACACAGTAAGACAACCATGCACCCAGCCACATGCCTGCCACGACTGTTTCACTCAAGTTTCCCTGCCCACAATTCAAATCTCATCTGTGACCTGAAGCAGAATCACTACTGCAGTTTTGTAATATTAGGAATTAACCTCTTCTAAGGATTTTTATCCTCAGTGACAGGAAGAGCAACACAACTTCACCACAGAGCACGTTAGATCTGTCAAGGTGGGTGCATACAGAAGGTATCGCAACATTTGACAATGCACTCAGACCAATGCTTTAGTTCTTTAAAGTATGGATGAAAAAGGAAAAGAGGGAAAAAAGCATCTGCTACTTCTCTTCTATATTTAACCTCTGGAGGTGCCTTGCAAGAAGACAAAAGGATTTCCTCCTGCCTGTTCATGCCAGTTCCATGTCCTTTTTATGTGCAGTTTTGGTGTCCTCAACATAAAAAGGACAGGGAACTGTTAGAACAAGTCCAGAGGAGGGCCACAAGGATGGTCAGGGGACTGGAGCACCTCCCATATGAAGACAGGCTGAGAAAGTTTGGGCTGTTAGAAGAGAAGGCTGTGTTGAGACCTCATAGCAGCCTTCCAGCATCTGAAGGGGGGCTATAAGGATGCTGGGAAGGGACTCTTCATTAGGGACTGTAGTGATAGGACAGGGGGTAACGGGTTCAAACTTAAACAGGGGAAGTTTAGATTGGATATAAGGAGGAAATTCTTTCCTGTTAGGGTGGTGAGGCACTGGAATGGGTTGCCCAGGGAGGTTGTGAATGCTCCATCCCTGGCAGTGTTCAAGACCAGGTTGGACAGAGCCTTAGGTGATATGGTTTAGAGCGAGGTGTCCCTGCCCATGGCAGGGGGGTTGGAACTTGATGATCTTAAGGTCCTTTCCAACCCTAACTATTCTATGTTTCTATGCCAGGAACCCACAGGGCCAGCAGCTTGGGGCATTCATTCTCACAGCCACATGAGCCTCGACACTTCACTGCATCTCTCCTCCCCAGGGGTCACGAGAACAACTCTAAACTCATCAAAAATATTGCCGCTCCTCCCTTCCCCTGTACTGGCTATTTGGGAGTCTCCATCAGTTCCACCTTCCCTGTGTACCTCCTTCTGCAGTCAGCTTTAACCCCACTAGTCCCACTGGGGTTGTGCTCTGGACCCAAACGCCCTGTGTGTGACAGCAGTTCCAAGGGAGGCAGCACAGAAATACAGCAGGTTCATTAACAACTCCAAAAGCATGTCAGAACAGCAAAATTAAGCAAGGGAATGACATTAAAAAAGAGGAAAAAATACAGCTTAATCGTAGCATGGCTGCTATAAAAACGACGGCAAAATGAGGCCTGTTCCACTCCCTGAGCAAAGATATTTAATCCTGAAGGAGGACAAGACACCAGTGTGCTGACCCTCATTGCTACGCATGGCACACATCTGGGGAGGGAAACAGAAACCCAGAAAATACAAGGAAGGCGACTTGACCTAACTACCCCTGAGAGACAACCTACAGTAGCAACTGCTGTATGAGAACAGTGGGGGGTTATTTCCAGAAGGCTTTAAGTGCTTCTCTCTCCTCTTTCCACCTTACAGAAAATGCTGTCTCCTCCTCCAAGACTGCAGATTAGTTTACTCAAGCAGGATAAAAGGGAGATGGAGCCAAATAGGTGTCAATGCACAGAAACAGGTTCAAAAAATGGTTCCTTCTTCCCAGATCACAGACGTGTTTTTCTCAGCTCTCACCTACCACGCATTCAGGGCTTGTCTGTACCACAAGGGGACAAGAAGCAATGAGACTAGAAAAGGGGGGTAGTGGGAAGGAGAAAGTAAAAGAAATGGAGGGAACATCATAGGCTCTCTAAAGCTGTTGGTCTGAAGTCAGACAATTTTGACACAAAATGAGAAACATAGTTATGCATCACCCCAAAACAAAACCTTATCCCAAGCAATCATGTCCCCCTTAAGGTGACCATTTTGATTTAAACCACTGAACTTTTCCATGGACAGACACACCGAGCCTACTGAGCTAAGCTCCCTCTTGCTGGCTCCCACCTCCCCCTCCCTTATCCCTCATCTAATGTCAGCTAAAATTCAAGAGCAGTTTTCCAGTCATGTGGCTTTCTACCACTGCAGTTACTGACTCACCTATTTAGGAAGGACAGACAGAGACAGCTCACCTGTTCTGGATAACACTTACACCATTTAAAAGGTTCAAGAAACTCACCACCCCAGCATTTATTTTGCTTGTCCCTGGGCTGACAGTTTTTAGGCAGGAGGAGAAGGGCAAGTTACAACCTGCAGGCTGAGAGCTGCTCACAGCATGTTTCCTACCCAGCTGGGAAGAGCCTAGTGCGGGAAAAGGAACCAGAAAGTCTGCTTCCATACAAGCTCCACATCATTTTCCCAAAGCCTGGTGGGGTTTGCACTTGGTCAAGTAAATCCCTTAGTGATGGCAATGCTGCAGCTCTCAGTGATGCATGTTTCCATTAGTGTGATGACAAAACTCCTATGACAAGATGGTGGTGGGAGGGCAACAGGAGCCTGAGATTCAGCTGCTAAAAGAGACAGATTGCCTTTGTGGAGAGCTCCCTTTCTTTTCTGACTCATCTTTAGTTTTCTACGGTTGCCAAGTGCCCTCCTCCTGACAACAACCCAAGCCACCTTCTCACACTGAGGAACAAGGTAAGGTTTAGGAGATTATAGGATGTTAAAAAAAATCAAGAAGAAAGGTGGTAGAAAGGGAGAACAGTGAGAAATGTTAAGTTACAGAACATTTACATAATGGCTTTCTTTATAGTACTCTAAAAGATTCTAGAAAGTCTTACAGGTATCTGCACAAGCCATGTTACAGAGGCAACGTTCCTAACAGGAATAAGTTAGCAGCAAATGGTCTATTTTAAAACATGATTGACTTTGTACAGTTTTAAGGCTTTTGTATAAGAACATTAGACAGCAGCTTCAGGATATGATTTAAATGACACACAGTAATTGTATCCTGGTGTTCAAGTACATACCAGGAATGCATTACAGGAGACCAAACTTACAATAGAAAGTCCTATCGCTGTTCAATCTTTGCCAACGAGCATAGCACAAAAGGGTTTTAGCAGTACAAGTATGAAGCAAGTTACCTTTCTTTGCTTTCTTCTGTAGCTTCAGTGTATCAGATGATTTCTTTTTTATCTCTTGGCGGGCCTTTTTGTACTCTAAAAAACCACATAGTCTCTATTACCAACACACTCAATGTCAAAATGAATGTTTTTTCACAGAAAAGCCTCTGTTTAAAGACATTAAACTACAAATTTTAGGAAGACAGTTACTATTAATCAAAGCAACTCAGAATCTGCATTTCGTAGTGCCTATACGTTTGGCTTAATATAACATTCTAGGGTGTGAGCACATTCACATACCAAAATCTTTCCCAAATAAACAAAGCCTTTACAGAAATAACAGCTGAGAACACAGTACAAAATTAGAGTGCTTTTTGTTTGAGACTCATCGACTCTCAGGAATGGAAAACAGAGATGACAGGTTTCTCAAAACATCTGTGTTCAAAAACAAGTATCCAGAAATGGCAAAGCAGAGAATACCCTGTGATCCTTCTCCAGCATGAGAGTCAGGCAGAGGGTGCTAAACTTTGCCCAAGGAACGGTCCCTTTGCCAGCTCTTTCTGATGAAGTAGAGCACACTGCAGTTGTCCCCATTTTCAGATAAGCTGCCAATCCCGGGAGAATTAAAATCCCGGAATCAAACATTACACCTCTAGTCCAGGCACACTGAAGGTACCAGATACGAAAGCTGATACTTAAAAAAAAATAAAATAAAAGATAAAAGGCATGTATGCATGTATATACACATACACATACACTCTAACAAAGGAGGGCAATGTTATTACTCTTCTATAGATGGAAAAACAGAAGCAGGCTGGTGGTGGGCACAGGAACTGTACTGAGGCCAACTATACCCATGCCTACCTACTAAGCCCTAAATCTCACTGCCACTTTGGTCAGGGTTACCCCTACCTACAGGAACTCAGGTGATGCCTCCCTCCTGCTCACTACGTGCTTAACACTCTGCAGTACAAAATGGGAATCTTTTCAAGAGCTGCTAATTTAGCCGCTTCTGTTTGCCACAGTAATAGTGGGGCAAGAAGCAAATCCTGTTTTGGAGGCCAGGCTAACTTCTTCTCACCAGCTCTCACCCTCCCCAAAGTAAATTATGGTGATGCTGTTTCTTTCAGACATAGCAGAAGTCTTCAGTTTTCAAAGGTTAGTGGTGAACTGCAACCTGCTTTCAGCCTCTGTACTAGAAGGCCATCATCCCCTGTGCAAGTCTTGCAAAGCCAAAGGCATCTACCGACGTGCTCTCTCTGCACAAGACTTTGCTGCCTGCTGCTCCTTCCCCAAGAAAGCCTCTGGAGCCATCAACAGCACAGCAGCTTTCAGCATCCCATGTCCAACAGCACAGCTTTCCCATTCTCTGGGTGCACATTTCTGTACCACATCAGACATAAAATAACGACACTGAATGTTTTACAGGGCTGTGTATTCTCTGGAGGACACTGTCTGAGACACAACATGATCTTACAGTTAGCTTTTAATGACACCCCAGGGCTTTGCTGGGACAGATGTGGCACCCCCAGTTCTCAGCACTACTGGAAATAAGGTGAGAGTGAGCTAACAGAATTAAAACCAGTCATTGCTTCCCAGTCTAGGAAAAACAACCCATCCCTTGGTGACCTGCAAACTAAAGCTTCAAAATGTGTATGCAAGGGTTTAAAATGTGTTAGGCACTTTGGGAATGCTTTAGAAAAGTTACCATACATATTTAAGTGAGTCACTCAGTTCCCCAGTACAAACATGAAAAGAGGAAGAAAAGCTGATATTACAATCTTACTCCTATTAAAGAATTCTTCCTCTGTTAACTACCTTTTGCATGGTCTTTATCCAGTTGATTGGCCACTTTCTTCCACTCTTCCATCTGTTCTTGAAGTGGGTTTATCAGACAGTCAATTAAAGCACTAATTTTGTTGAAAAAACACAAAGAGCAATCAAATCCTGCAGATGCCCCTATTCTTATATAGAGAGCCAAGGTCAATACTGGAGTATTTTTACTTTTTGCTGTGACAGCTACCAGTGTCACAATGTAAATACCAGAACATAAAAACGTTTACGCTAGAGAAAGGAAAAGAAAGGACTGGATCAAAAGGAAAAAACAAATCCACATCACAAGATTACTGCACAGAAATTGAGGACAGCAAGGAACAGAGCGTAAACCAGAGGACTGACCCAAAACAAGGCCAAGATAAACAGTTAGATCCTACTCGCCTGTCACACAAAGAGCAGTTTAAATGGATACTGTGGAGACTGGAAAGGTTCATGCAGCCATGAAGATTCTGAACATAAATAACACATGTATACACACAAGGAGACAGAGCAGTTGTGCAAGCGAACAACATCCTGCCCACTGATGCGCCTCACCTCTCACCAGTGGAGTCCATGATACAGCACTAGTAATGCTCCACTGATTAATGAGATTGGGATGGAATCATTTAAACAGCTTACTCTGGGGCAACTAGAGACTAAAGTTGTCCCCTCTCAGCCAATTTCACAAATATCTTTATTTTAAAAAGGAAAAAACATACCAGGTCATCAGGCAAATGGTGAAGCATCACTTTGCTTTACCTCAGGTCAAGGATAACCTTAAAGTCTGGTTTAAAAAGGCACACATGCAAACTACTACTTACTAGCAAAGCAGGTTGTTTATGTGTAGCCCAGCTTACATGTGAGTTAATCCCCTCCCATTACCTCTACAGTCTAACTGCAAAAAGGTGAATTTGCCTTTTTCATACTTATTTGCTGAAAGTTTCTCTCTTGGCTGCAAGTTATTTGGGCTCTTCAGTAAGCTGAGGAAGCAGCACAACACTTGCTTCTGCTTTAAAATTTAGTGACAAAGCTTAAAGTCCTGAAACAAAGACAGGTTGGTCACATTAGCAGCTGCCTGCTCAGCACTGAGCAACAGGAACCAACAGTGACAAGCTCAGTCCCCAGAACATGCATGAAATCCTGCATGTTCACAACACCTAGTGTGCTGCTGGGGGAAAACAACTGCTGCTCTCAGTGACGTGGTCAGAAAGCAGCTGAAAAGCCAGTGCTGGTGACCAGCTTTAGGTGTCCCCCAGCAGCAAATGAAAGACCAACCTTGAGCTCCAGGCCAGCACAGAGCCACTCACCTTGAGAACTGCCGGAGTTTGGACTCTATACTTCTGTGCCTCATACACATCCTGGTGAGAGCAGAACCAATCTCTCTGGTACCACCTGAAAAACAAAACACGAAACAGGTGAGATCCCCAAGGAGACTGCAGCCTGTGTTGTAGAGCCATGCCAACCAGAAAGCAGGTGCAGAGTCTTCCAAAGCAACTGTAAAACAGATTCATACCCACTGTAGAACTGACCAGGCTGTTAACTGGGCAGACCTCCGGGATATCTACCACCTCGGGAAGAGATTCATTTTTGTTCATCCAGAGACCAGAACAAGCAAACAAACACAATTAAAATACAGTTCTTCCCAACAGCTTGTGCTGTGAGGCACAAGTCCATGGCAGGAAAGTTAACTGAGAAGGGCTTGAGATGTCAAAATAAAAGAAGCAAAGCTGGCAAGTAAGCTGGGATCTACAGTTTATTTCCACATTTTGGATTTGATTCAATTTTTCCATCCCTAGATTCTTTAGACCCAATGCCTCAAAAGAATTTTGCTCCTCCAGAATATGCAACTAATCCTACATATTACCTCATACATCACTGACACATGCCATCAGTGCATCACATGTACCTGCCATCTCAGATCACGCATATATTTTCTATTATATTGCCAGGAGGTGGCACTATTTGCTCTATGCCCTCGCTCTTCTCTGCTCCTGACAATGGCATGACAGCAAGAATCATTTGCAAGTGTTCCTCCTCTTCGTTTCCCCTTGTAAAAGCACACATTCCTCCATTTCCCGCTTTAATCAGCATTACCAACTTTGATCAGCCTATTAAATTCCAGTATAATTTTGTTTTGGTTAGCGTTAGTCTTGATAATTGCTTAGTTCCTATTTGCAAGCCAAATCTACTATTCCCAGGGTACAAACATCAACCTTTGCACAAAGCTTTTCCAAACTGTAGCGTTCTCCACAACGGCAAAGATAGCAGCATCTATTTAAAAGCAGTTTGATTCTTAAAATAACCTCAGACTTGCAATATACAGTAAAGTATCTTCCCTACGCTTTATAAATGGTATTGCACAAGTAAAACACTATTTTCCTAGTAAAGAAACTTGAAGATTTTAATAGTTTTATTTAGGTTTTAAGCACAAAACCAAGTCACCACCTTCCTGCATTCTTGCAGAATTAAATCCTGTGCCCACAAAAGGGCTCTGGAACAAAGACACTAAATAACTGGAACGAATTGTGGCTATTTGGTATTTTCCATTGTCCAAGAAGATAAACAGAAAGTCCTTTGTCACTTGCCCAATTACTCATGTTTTTATAAGGAGCTTTTCAAATAATATTTGGTAACACTGAAGAGCTGTGGTCTCACTGTGTGTGGGTGGCTGGGAAAAACATATGGATTTCAGCCTGGATCCAGACCCATCTCTTCCGGCACTGCTGCACTTGCACTAGCTGCCACAGACTCTGGAAGTTGAAAAGCAATAGAGAAGATGGCAAATAGCATAACAGAGAGAAAGCAACTGGAGGAGGAGGACAATGTCCACAGCAAAAAGCAGATCTCTCTCCCAAACATCAGCATTTTTCTCTAGAGCCACTGCCAAATAAAAGTAAGTCTGAGCCCAATGAGGCACAACTCCAACGAGATGAAGAAACTTCCATGGCCATTGGCAGAGCAATTCCCAATTGAGTTTAAGTGAAAGGCAGGTTTTTCAGGTTGAAAACTCACTGAAACACCGGAGTATTAAGGACTGTCAAGGGTTAAGTGACACTGCTTTCCTAAGCCCATTATATGAAGAAAGGAAGAGTCGTTTCAGAACAATACATAGGAAATAAGGCACTGTGTGTTTTGGAGACTAGGAAACAAGGGTCAGTTACTATTAATATTAAATTATGAGATTTTAACTGAAACCCCAATAACCAAAGTATTAATACATCCTTTCAACATACAGCACAGACAAGGCCAGGTTAGCAAAACAGCTGTATAAAGGTAGGTCCATACATTGCTAGTTGTGCTTGTTTAGAAAAACCCAAACAACAAAGCACAACAAAGTAAATAAGGAATAAAACAATAAAGGAATAAAAAGGTTATTCCATGGAAAAAGAACAAACCCAGCTGGTTGAGGATGAGGAGGTTTATGGTTCTTCCCACCTTTTGAAACTTCATGTTATCCATAGTGTTTACAAGACTAGGGGGAAGTACGAGGTGTTCATCCTGTAAATAAAGACTACTCTAACAAACTGCTAAAAAGCATAAATCTCTCCCAAACAGCACTTAAATTATAACCTCAACCTGCCTAAAAACGAAGCACCTGGGAACACAATCACTCCAAATGGCTACAACAAAGAAGGATTCCTGTTCCTCTGCAAAAATCATACATTGCTACAATCAATAAACTGAGTTTATTGATAAATAGAGTGAGTTTACAATAAGCTGAATTCAGAACAACCCAAGCTTAACTACCTTGGCAATGAGATTTCTGCAGTACTTCAGAATAACAACATAACGCTTGCAGGGGATGTACATCCCTTATAGAGTCTTCCAAGTGCCCTCTCTGCTCCTCTTGCTATTAGGACCATTTAAAGAGTTCCCTACAGCCTCTTCCTGCACAGCACAGGAGTGAGCTTTGTTTTTATTCCTCAAAGTCCTCTCCTTTCCAGCCTGGCAGCTAATGGACACTCGGTGCATCAAGCACAGAAGGGGCAGGCAGCAGGCACCTGCTGAGAAGCTGCTATGTGCCAGCAGCTTCTACCCCAGCAAAGGGAAGTAGTCACCATTCAACACATGCTGCTACAATAAAGTCACTATGCATTTCCAATTCCTGTTTAAAAGCTAATGTTACTGGTGTCTAATTAAGCATGGGAGAGAGAACCTCTGCAAGAGACAAGGGGCTTTTTCATTTTGGCACTCACTCCATTAGCAGAGGCAGGAACCGTGTCCAAGAGTCCCTATGTACCTACCCAGGTGAGACAGCCCATGATACACCTCCTGCAGAGTTTCTGGATGCTGAAACAGCAGCATTTCAGAAAGGATGACCTCCTCAGATAAGCCTAAACAATGTGCATTTTGGGGGTGCTTCAGCAGTGCCTTGTTAAAACAGCCACCAGACTGAAGAATAGTACCTGCCTGTCTCCTCCCACACCTGAATCCCACTACTCCTCAATTTATTACATATGCCAACAGTACTGGAGTTAAGCATAGCTTCACCTCCCTGGTCCCAGCTGTATTATCTTGAATAATCAAAATGCTTCCTGAGAAGGCACCCCCAAAACAGGTCTCTCACCACCCCTTGATTTATTGAGCTGGAGCACCATGGCCATTTCCGAGGTATTCAGCAGTCCTTCCAAGAACATGTGTGGTGCAAAGGGTTTATCTCAGCTGCCAGTAGCTTCCTGCAAAGGCTGGTTCCCACCAGCAGAACTGCACTGACACTCCTGTTTCCAAAGGATTGGGATCGGCTGGCTACACAAACCAGCAGAAGGGAATCGTTTTATACCACTGCAGTGGGTTGAAAACATCCAAATGTAACAAGGATGGTAGTTTGGATTTTCTTCAGTTACTCAATCTCAGCCAGACAGCCTCAGTCAACATGAGTAACATATGCTTTCCATAAATTGTCATTCAGTGTTACAGTAGTAGTTTACTCACTGCTTGGACCTTACAGGCAACATTAACGTATGTACACTCTGGATGTGGGCTATGCAGCTCAGTATTCAGAATAAGAAGTTTAGTGCACTGTCCTATGCTACAGTCATGCAAAACCTGCTTCAGCCTTCAAATTAAGGTTTACTTCTTAACAAAGAGCTGCTGCGTAACTGACCAAGTGCCTACTTACTTGAGGACAGAGCCATGAGCCAAGCAGGCAGACGACCAAGGGGAGATAACTCCTTTGTCAGTGCTATCAACCCCAAAGACGTGGTGGCTGAAAGAGCATCTGAAACAGAAGTACATCAGGAGCCTGCCAAAAACACTGCCCATCTCCACTTCACTTACAAGCAGGTGCCTGGCAAAAAGTCATGGCATTCTCCAGAAGACGTAGTTTCCTGAAGAGAAATACTGAGGCCACGCCAGCAAACTTTTCATCAGACCAAGAGTACATTGGGTGGGTGACCTGAGCTCCATTCACTGCTCTGCAGCCATGCGAGTTGAACAGCTGTGCCTTGGGCTCTCAGGTTATAAAATGAGGCTGTGAATTATCAGCTTCTCTGACATGCTACAGTAATTCATCCATTAAGGCAAACAATGCTTGGGAACGGTGTAAAGTAATACTTGGAAACTGGAGACAAGAGCAATATTCATCAGAATTCCCACTCAAAGTGGCTTAACAAAATGCTCCTGTCAAATTTGATTAGAAAGTGGGTGATAACATCAGTCTTATTTCTCATAAGTAAAAGGCAACTCTGCCAGGCAAAATGTGCTTTTGCTCTCACCTTCCTTGTTCTCCCTATTCCTGCCTAAGCCTGTAAAAGACCAAAAGCCTTTTTCATGTAAGATAATTAAATGAAAGTCTATGGACCACGACACTACAATGAGTCCACTATAAAGGCATAAATGATTTTCTTTCGATGCTTGCTTGTCATTCAACATTGCAGAGAGACAACAGGGAGAGACTGTAGGAAAGAGACTCAATTGTTTTATTGGAGTCATTATGTTTGTATTTAATAATGATCATATATCAAGGAAATGATTATTTGATGAAATGTGCAGCTGTACAACTGCATGGCCTCTGTATACTCCAAACAACCCATTACAATCAACCTCTTATCTTCCTTCTCTTGCTTCACTGTTGAGCAACCCCAGAAGGCTCAGGAGATGACTGCCTTTCAGGAAGTGCCTTTAAGGCTCCAACTTACTAACGAGCTCGTCTTTATCTTCAAGAGCAGAGTCAGCTATTCCTCTCTTTCCCAAAAGGGAGAGATTGATGAAAAACGGGTGTAATACTTTAGTAATTTCAAAGTTATCAGAAGAGGCTTCCATTTTTGAGCAAAGATTAAAAGCAGGAGCTGAACAGAGGCTAGATTATTAAATATAACTCTGAATATACAGGCTACGAAGCGAGGACTAACAGCAGGACATTTGAAGTTAATGGTCATTACTCAACCCTTTCC